AGCTCTTCTTACAGGGGCTACTGTAAGCTCTTGGAGGATTGGCTACATTAGGGGGTGTGTCGCCTAATATGCAAAGGAGTTCCTGCTACAAGAAGAGCCAAGTAAAAGCAATGGGGAGCTACAAGTTCTGGAAGTGTCTTCCAACCTGAAGAATATTGTACCGTGATTCAAGCTGCCACAAGACTGCAGGTAGATGAAGCAGCAGCGAGGAAGGGCGAGGAGAAAGAAGCAACTGGTCACCAGGAGAGCTCAGAAGCAAAAACCGGGGCATGTGGGGAAAGCGGGGGGTGGGGGGAGCAGATGGTAGGGAAACCAGCAAGGGATAGTGGAGAAAGAGGAAGAAGAGACACCAGTCCGATCCCATCTGACAAAAGGAGCGTTGACTCTCAAACGCTCATACCCCAAAAAATCTTGTTGGTCTCTAAGTGGTGCTGGACTCGAATCCAGCTCTTCTACTGAAGACCAACACAGTTACCCTCTGAAGCAATCCTGTTTGAGCTTTCTAGTCCATTTCCACTTGGGGCTCCTACCACTGCTTTCAAGGATCTGTCTGGCGCTCACACTTTACTCCCCCCCCCTTCTTGTATACATCAGATTTCCCAGCAGCCCCGGCGAGAAGATTTAGGCACACCCGTTGCCAAGGCCTGCCACAGGCAATACTCCCAATCTAATATGGCCTGGCCCACCTTCGACGGGTGCCAGTGCAAAAAGAACAGGGACACAAGACTCTCCCAACCAGAGATCCCCAACCTCTTTGAGCCCGTGGGCAGCTTTGGCGTTCTGACACAGTGCGGTGCAGACAACCACAGAATGGCTGCCCCAGCTAGCATCAGTTACACAGTGAAGAAAACAGGTTTTTTAAAAAATGTGCAAAGGCAATCAAATCTCCATCAGATGCCCTGCAGGACAAAAACCCCACCCGGCCCGGCCCACTTTCTAAAACCACTTCGTGGGCACCAGGAAGTGTGTTGGGGTGCCACAGTGCCCACGGGTACCACGATGGGGATTCCTGCTCTAAACAGTTCAGGAAGTGAACACTATAAAAAGGTAAAGGTTCCCTTGCTCGAAAGCCAGTCGGATCCGACTCTAGGGGTGCGGTGCTCATCTCCGTTTCTAAGCCGAAGAGCCAGCGCTGTCCGAAGACGTTTCCGTGGTCATGTGGCCGGCATGATTGAACACCAAGGCGCACTATACCGAGTGCCATTTTTAGGTGTGAGGCATCAAGCCCTGCTCCCTGGTTGCCTCTTTTAAACTTCTGACCTTCCTACATGTGGTTAACATCTGGTGATCTGACCTGGCATTCAGGGGCAGGGGTTATGCCCGCGATTTTAACTCATGAGACAATGACAACACTTGCGTAAATTAGACAACAGTGAGCAGGGATAAGAGCTTAGACAAAATGAGAACAGTCATCCCAGACCAGTTACCTGTACATGCCTTTAAAAGTGATTACCACCAGGTGTGTCACTGAGTGATACGATGAATAACAGGTATAGAGAAGAAAATTCAGCAAGTACTGAAGGAAAAACATGTCTACTTTACCCCAGGAATATGAGGAACATTCTCCTTTCGAATGTTGAAAAGGAAGCAGCATACGCTTCATAACTATTTGGTTCTTGTTTAGAATAGAAATATTTTTTAAAAAAATCTACAAGCACACTGTTACTAATTAAATAACTGCTTCAAATATATAATTTGGGTACAGCAAAGAGGAACAAGCAGAGCACGGTTTGCTTACGACCGCAAGCCAAAAATCAGCAAAAGAGCCCAGTATTTCTGTCTTGAAGAAATCCTTACAGCATTAGTTCATTCTTATGACCACAACAGAACATCCTTTGGGCTGCACTCAGTTTCTCAAACACACAGGAAAGACGGCTGTTAAGAGCTTACAGCAATATTTAACAGTAAGCACAACCACAAAATGTATTTTTGAAAACCTGAGGCTCCTTTTAACAAGGAGTATGACAGTGAGCCAAGCAGGCTGTTTTAGAAAAGGCCAAGGATGCCTGGTTATTTGAACCAGGGATGACCAAAGGATGGCTCAAATGCCAGATCTAGAACTTTTATCTAGTCTCCCATCAAACCTAAAATCAAAGTACGGGAAAACTTTTGTTCACAGTTTCATTTGAGAGGAAAAGTTATGAGTTACAAAGATCATACTGTGCTCATTAGGGAAGGGAAGAAGACCACCATGAACCTGTCTGTGGTAAGGATCTTTCGGAAAGACTATTTATTCTTCAGATACTCCCCGTTCTTCAATCAATGACCTTTGTCCATCTTATAATCTGGACTAGTGACTGGAGAAGACAGAAGGCCCAAAGAGTGTGTCGGTCGTTAAATACATCATCCTACATTTTTATATATGAACGAACACAACTTCAGAAAGCAGCAACCAGAAACACTTTAACTGAAGTCTTAACTACAAAACAAAACCGCACAAAAAGATCCGCTGTGTCATATTATGCTTTCTGACACAGGTAAAAACTTTGTTAGAAAACGACAAGAGGTCGGTAGAAAGGGCAGAAGAAGATTCTGATTAATGGCCCAAGTCCAAGGAGTACTAGATTTTGAAGAACCAAAGCCAGGGGAGGGCAAGGCATTCCACACTGAAGAAAAGCTGCACCGAGACTCACATCATTTTTATAAAGCTCGCAGCAGAACATTTTTCACACCAAAAAAAACTGCTTAGTACTAAACAGTGACGGGGAAGGAGTCAAGAAAGAAAAAAAATAATATTTTGCATTCAAACAGATGCTTTGTCATACGGTCCTATGCAAGTCCTATAATCCTCCTGAAGTCCAGCAATATAATGGGTGCCCATAAACCTGGGAGTGAGGGAAGCAGGGGTCATTTCGTAGAAAAAGAGCTAGGGGAACTCATTAGCATAACTCATTAGCATATGCCACACCCCCTGACATCACCGGAAGTGTGTCATAAGGCCACACCTCCTGACATCACCGGAAATGTGTCATAAGGCCACACACCTGAAGTCTTAACTACAAAACAAAACCGCATGAAAAGATCCGCTGTGTCATATGATGCTTTCTGACACAGGTAAGAACTTTGTTAGAAAACGACAAGAGGTCAGTAGAAAGGGCAGAAGAAGATTCTGATTAATGGCCCAAGTCCAAGGAGTACTAGATTTTGAAGAACCAAAGCCAGGGGAGGGCAACGCATTCCACACTGAAGAAAAGCTAGTCTCATGGTTTCCAAGATGTATGAATTTTCAAAAAAAAACCGACTCATTTAACTGCAACATCAAGGTGGCACTGATCATCCTACCTTGGTTCCAAGAACCAATTCCGCATCATCGTCTCTTAGCACCTAAATCAAGCATGATTTTCCCCTGATTGAAGAGTGATTCAGCAAGAACACAACTTTATTCTTCAACTCGAACACAACTCCAACACGGATCGACATCTGATAGCCAGAACAGCCTTTACATTGCAGCTGTCCTGCTTTTAAACATTCCCGGCTAATGTAGCCACACCCACTTTACAAATACTCACCAATAAGGCTGTTCACATAAGGACCAATCACGGATGTTCCCACTCAGGGAGCTTGCTGTGAAGTGATTGGCTTGTT